CCTTATCTGCTTTCTGGAGGGATCACTCTCTCCGTGACTCCCTTGTCCACTCCACACTGCCCACCAGCCCCACCACACCTGGCACTTTTCCCTGCAACCGCAGGAAGTGCTACACCTGCCCCTACACCTCCACCCTCACCCCCATCTCAGGCCCTAAGAAGACCTTCCACATCAAACAGATGTTCACCTGCACATCTGCTAATGTGGTATACTGTATCCGCTGTTCCCGTTGTGGCCTCCTCCACATCGCGGAAACCAAGCGGAGTCTTGGGGAATGCTTTGTGGAATACCTATGCTCGGTTCGCAACAAACAACTGCACCTCCCAGTCGCGAACCATTTCAACTCCCCCTCCCACTCCTTGGACGACATGTCCACCCTGGGCCTCCTCTAGTGCCACAACGATGCCACCCGAAGGTTGCAGGAACAGCATCTCGTATTTAGCTCGGGAACCCTGCAGCCCAATGGTATCAATGTGGACTTCACAAGCTTCAAAATCTCCCCTCCCCCGATCGTATCCCAAAACCAGCCCACCTCGTACCCACCTCCCTAACCTGTCCTCCCACCTATCCATTCCTCCCACCTCAAGCCCCACCCCCATCTCCTCCCTACTATCCTCACCCCGCCTCCTTGACCTGTCCGTCCTCCCTGGACCAACCTATCTCCTTCCTAACTCCGCACCTACACTCACCTTTACTGGATCCAACCTTGCCTCCTTGACCTGTCTGTATCCTCTCCACCTATCTTCTCCTTTATCCATCTTCTATCCGCCTCCTCGTCTCTCCCTATTTATTTCAGAAACCCCTTCCCCTCCCCCATTTCTGGAGAAGGGTCTAGACCCAAAATGTCAGCCTTCCTGCTCCTCTGATGCTGCCTGGCCTGCTGTGTTCCTCCAGCTCTACACCTTGTTATCACATTCAATACCGAAAGCATTTTGAGGCCTTTCGAATATTGGGCCCACATGTTTGTATGAAAGAAAGAGCATAAATAAGAAGAATGAGGATACAATCCTTTTTCACAGCTCTAACAGATCACAGGAGTTGGGCAATTATGGGAGAAGGATGAACCCCAAGAATAACAAAGGAATAGTTAATTGATGCTTCAGATGTTCATAAAAAATCATTATGCGCTGAATTGCCCAACAAAGCAATAAGATTATTTTTGAGATGACACACAAAGGAAGGTAAACTGACTAATCAGAAGAAATCATATTGGTCACCAGAAGCTTCGTCCCAGAAATGAGCATCCAAGTATCATATTCATTCAATTGCGCTGTTCTAGATTTAAAGAAAAATTAATCAATGGGATGTCAGATCACTGGCAATCCCAAATTGACTTTGAGAAAGTGGCGGTGAGCTGCCTTCTTGAAACACTGCAATCCATTTGCTGTAGTAAATCCACAATGTTAGGGAGTGAATTCCAGAATTTTGACCCTCCAGGATTTTGACCCAACGCCAGTAAAGGAACAGCAATATATTTCCAAGTCTGGATAGTGATGGCTTGGTGAGGAACTTGAAAGTCATGGTGTTCCCATGTAGTGATGCCCTTGTCCTTCTAGATGGTAATGTTGTGGGATTGGAACGTGCTGTTGGAAAAACCTTGGTAAGTTTCTGCAGTACGTACAATGATAGCACACACCGCTGCTACTGAACTTCAGTGTTGGATAGACTGAATGTTTGTGGATGTGGTGCTAATCAACTGGGCAGCTTTATCCTGGATAGTGTCAAGCTTCTTGAATGATGTTGGAGCTGCACTAATCCAGGAAAGTAGGGAGTATTCCATTGCACTCCTGACTTGTGCCTTGTAGTTGGTGTACAGATTCTGAGGAGCCGGAGGTGAGTTATGTGTTACGGGATTCCAACCCCCGACTTGCTGTTTAGTCATAGTATTTATATGGCTAGTTCAGTTCAGTTTCTGGTCAATGGTAACTCCCAGGAGTTTGATAGTAGGCAAACCAGCAATGGGAATGCCATTGTATGTCAAAAGATTATGGTTAGATTCTCACTTATTGGAGATGGTCATTCCTGGCATTTGTGTGGCACAAATGTTACTTGCCACTTGTCAGTTAAAACCTGGATATTGTCTTACTACATTTGGACATGGACTGCTTCAGTACTTGGAGAGTCGTGAATGATGTTGAACATTGTACAGTCATCAGCGAACATCCCCACTTCTGACTTTAAGATGGAGAGAAGGTTATTGATGAGGCAGCTGGAGATGACTCGGCCATAGACACTCCCTGAAGTGTCTTTCTAGTTTTATACAAGCAAATATGTAGTAGACAAAAAATGCATCTGGAGCTATTTTCTTTAAAGCACAACTAAGCCTTGGTTTAATGTTAAAATAGTGAACTCAATGATGGGCAGTTTTGTTTTGCCAACAGCAGACAAAAAATTATACTTACTCGATACATTATTTTTCAAAGGGAATTGTTTAGCTCTGAATGGTTCAGGAAGCTGATGGTGTGTCTTAGGAATAGCAGGTATTCACTGCAGTAACCGTACAGGAAAAGTGGGGCTCAGCTGGAATCACAGAGTCATGTATAACCCCATACTAAACTTTATTAGTCATCAAGTCATTTACAGTGTAGTCTCCCAGTCAGACGTTTGTGGCTTTGAGCCCTGCCCTAGACCCCTGAAACCTCAATCAAGACTGAAAATCCTTCTGGTAAAGGGAGTAATGCACTGTTGGAGTGAGTGATATCTTTTCAATGAGACGTTAAACTGAGGCTTCACCTGTCTTTCTGACTGAATATAAAAGGTTCCACGTTGCCATAGAACTTTCTCTTCCCACGTTAGTTTCTAAATTTGACTAAAATGTAACCACAACTATACTTTGTAAAACAGTTTATTGGCTGTAAAAGTGTTTTGTGACATTCAATGGTCAAAAGTGTAATATACAAATTCAAGTTTGATTTTTTAAATTACTTTTTAAATCAAAATGTTAGTTTTTGACCAGCACAGACTCGATACGCTGAATGGTCTTTTTTGCGCTATAAACCTCTGTGACTGTCTGACTGTAAGTCAATGAATGATATCAAAACAATAAAGGTTATTGGAAATGTTCTGCTTTCACAACTTCTCATGCAGCTCTTTACTCACCCTATGGAGTGGTGCATAGAGGACAGTTTCTGCTGCTATAATATGTGGGAAAATTTCACTGTGAAATGGTGAGTTGTTGATGCATTGTGCATCTTCAGCTTTCCTCGACCTCTAAATTACAAGCACTTATAATTCCTCTAAGAATAGATTCGTTTTCAATTTAAATTCAAGTTTGGAAACTGATTTTTCTTTTCTTCAGTGTATTTATGAATCACAGCTTTTCCATATTCAAGAAAAAAAGAACCTGTAGTTCAAATGAATTTCCAGGATCTTCAATTGCAATATTTATTAGTGACATAGGTTCTTGCATTCGGTCACATTAACATTCCACCAACAAAGAGTACTTTGGCAACAAGGGGATTTTTCTAAAGCCAGGATAATCATCAATGGCAACAGTTGTGTTTACTTCTGCTTATAAACAGTTGAATTATATGTGACCTGACAGCCCTGCCTTAGTTACAAAACAGGTGTATTTATCTTAAGAGAAGTGGCATTCTATAATTGTAGTTTCAGTGCTTATTAAAGAAAGAGTGAAATAGAGCCAAATATTTGGAATTGCAATAGGTTAGGCAGCATCTGTGTAAAGAGAAATAGAGTTAATATTTCATGCTGAAGACTCTTTGTAAGGTCATCAATTAGTACCACTGAGGTTATTAAGATAAAAGTAATATACCTGAATAAAAATTGTAATGCTAATTTGAGATTGTTAATATGCTATTATATTAATGATAGACTTTCATAACGATAAAATTTCCATGTATTAAAGCAATGCTTCTAATCATTTGAAGTCAAAACAAAAACATACAGCCAGTGTAATTGCCGAAATAACTTGTAAAAAACTCACTCAAAAATATCTATCTTAATAAAGATTTCCTCTGACCTTATGGTCTCTGCTATAATTGAATTCATCCAGACCCCTCCATTATTCAATTATTTTGTGTTCTAGAATATTTTTAGATACACTCCTGGGATGGAAGTTTCCCTATAATAAAGAAATGGTAGAGTGAGTTGTACTCTCTGATTTAGAAAAATGAGAGCTGATCTCATTGAAATGTATTACATTCTAAGAGAACAGATGTTGAGAGGCTGTTTTCCCTGGCTGAATCCTAAGGGTAATAATCTCAGGATAAGAGTCCACCATTTAGGATTGAGGTGAGGGAACATTTCTAGTCTGAGGTTTGTGAACATTTGGCTTTCTCTCCCCCAGAAGACTGTGGATATTTAGTCAGTTAACATATTCAAGGTTGAGATTGATAAATTTTTGGACTCAAAAAGAATGAAGGAGTATGGGAATCTGATCATAAAGTGTCACCGACATTGAAGATCAGCTATAATAATGAATGGCAGAGTACGCTCAATTGGTCACATTGCATGTTCCCTTTTGTGCTACTTGCATGAGAAATTATTACCTAGACCAGAAACAAGTAGGCAGTTGGACCCAGAGATTCAGCCAGTGCTACCCTATTGTTAGCAAGCATAGTAGCCAAAATTGATTTCCTGATTTCCTGTCCCTCTATATAGGGACAAACTACAGCTTGTTGTCTCCTGTCAGCATCCATCTAAAATTGGAGAAATTCATTATTTAGGAACTGACTCTTCCAAACTATTGCTGGTTTTAAGGTTTTGCACTGGAAAGTTTTTAATGTGAATAATGTGTGTCTAAAGTGAGAAATTGTGAAAAACTAGGGACTGAAAATCAGAAGGAAAATCCAGGCAAAAATACTGTAGAGTTAGGTGAAGAAAAGGGTGGTTGTTTGCAGCAGTGTCTAGGAGTTTAATCATTAATTCCTGAAGAGTCCAGGCTAATCCTAGAGAGTTAACAACATGTTTGGAACATATTTAGAACAAGATCATTGTTCTGTCTCTATGTATTAAATCAGCTTGCACTTTTTATTTCACAGAATTTTCCAATGTCAATTTGGTTTAACAAACGAACAGAGACATTTGAAATAGTTGACAATGCAAAGAAAAATCTGTTGAAGCGGTTAAAACGATTGGTACATACTTACAGTCCTGCAGACCCCATCTACAATGCGACACTCAGATCCCAAGAAAGACATCCTCAGTTTAAAAAGATCACTGCTCTGGATCTAAAATTTGAAAACAAGTTCATTGTAAAGGTAAGTAGATCAATCAAATTGTCATTATACCTCTGGGTATGTGACCAGTGATGGTGTACCTAAGAGCAATAATGATTAAAAAAATGAAATCTCAGTTAAAATTAGAATTCCCTGTATTTTGAAAAGTTAGGTATGAATCATGGGTGTTACCCTTCATCAGAGGAGCAAACAGAGTATGAGATTGGGCCCTGTTTTGCTGTAGTCATGAAGCAAAACTGGTAGGATTCATCATGACTTCTTTAAAGCTGACAGCACCATCTGTGGCCTGTACAGGTACAGCTAAATGTAAAAATTACTGTCAGTGATTCAGTACTTCTTCACAGTATGTACTTTTGAAATCTCTGCACACCGTAATTGCATAGAACTGACTGAACTGACAAAAACTTTCCCTCTTCTATGTATTAATCTCATTATAAAAACCTTGAAAATGATAAACTTTTTTGATTGAGGTGTAATTAAGTTTTAAAGGTGAACCAAGTTCCTAATTGCTGCTGGCAAATCCCTCCAACCACAAGAATGTAATTTCATATTTACATGGAAAGTTAAATTTCTCCATTTTTCTGAAGTATGTTTATGATATTTCAGCCATATTTATGTCCTAATTATTTATTTTCTCTCTGTGAAAAGTGAAGAACATCTGTGCACTTTACTTCCTGGTATGCAGTCTCTGAGAAAACTTCAATCTGATTACCATGTTTGATGACCATAATGCAATATGTAAAATAATCTACTCACATGTTTCAAATATCTTTGATTCTTTGTTTTTAAAAAAATTGTAATTTGATAAAGTCAAACAATATGAATTTGTATTGCATTTGTATTTTTTTTTAATACTAGCACCTCGATCATGTGCAGGGTATTGCATGGATAAAAAATGAGAGACTCCCAACATTCCTTTTGAGTGATTGTTACTTTGAGTACAGGTAAAAAAAATCCAAATCTTTTTCTTTGATTATTGTTATGCAAATATTCACCTTATACAAATATAATCATGTTTTTAAAATCTTTGAATAAATGTACACTTTCTTGTGGGATAAAGTAACCATGCTTCAGTGCATTGCTTAGTACTTATTATTTAGCTTGTATGGGTGAGAAGAAAACAAGCTTGCAAATTGTACACGGGAAGAGAGGTAAAGCTAGGATGAAGCCCCATCTCCCAAGAGCACATTTCAACTAGCTATTGGGGCAAGGCTTCCCAAAGTTGTATCCCAGTGGGATCATTGGACAAAATTTTGGGATCACAAACTCCAAGGCAGCAATGGCCGCCATAGGGCTCCACTTGAGTGCTAACAGCTGCATGGCCATTTTGAGTTTCTGCTTTAACTGTTGGGTGCTGAAATACTTCCACAGAGGCAAGTATCCCGTCGCCAAGTCACCCTTTATTTACATGTGCATAGTACTTGACACTGGTTTGATTTCCTCAGAGCCAGCTTTCAGAGAGAGCGGAACCTCTGGCACTTCTGTTTATACCTGTCGGCCAGGGATCCCTGATTGGACCAAGTTAACAGCCCCAATCAGGTCCGTCTGGCTGCTGTCATTACAATTACTATATCCCTCCCCCTCTAAGTTTGGAGATGTAGAGCTGTTCTTTATCACGTAGCTTCTCTTGGGGCATTTTTACACAGGGTCTGATTGCTCCGACTCAGCCTCGGGTACGGGTGGTGTACACCAGTCTGTAGCCCGCCTCTTGCGCCCAGAGCATCTCAGAAGAAATTTATCCTCTTTGTTAGGCGGTAAAGGCATTGAGGCTGTGACGTCCACTGTGTCCATCTCAGACTCCGAGGTTTCTTCGACACTAGACAGAGGAAAAGAACTCACGCATTCTGACAGACTTTCTGACTATTCTGAGGGACTGGATATGTTTTGCTCCTGCCCTGTTTATGAGTTTGCAGCTTTCATGTGGTCCGAGTACCTACCCAAACTTTGCCTCGACCGTGCCTCTTACCTTTGCAGGGCCATATCTGTTTTTTAGGCACCAAATTTCGTCCCCTGAAGTGAACTGTCTTGCTTGCTTCGAGGAGTCTTGTGTCTGGCATTGGCGTTCCTATTGCTGTTTCACCTTCCCCAGCCAGGTCCAGGATGATCAGATTTAACATAGTGCGGAGTTTTCTCCCCATTAGAGAATTTGCTGGAGCTATTCCTGTAGTTGCATCGGGATGGTTCGATAATTAAATAGAAACCCAGACAGTTTGGTATCAAGTGAAGCTGTTTTCAGTTTCTTTAAGCCTGCCTTCAAAGTTTGAATTGCTGTTTCCGCCGGACCGTTGGATGATTGAATTCGACTTTAGGAAATACTCAAATTCCCTGCTGGTAAATGATGGCCCATTGTCTGTGACCAACACATCCGGGAGTCTGTGTATTGCAAAAGATGCTCACAGCTTTTCTAGCATCTCCCAGTGTTTGATGAATGAATTCTATCCACATCCAACCACTTTGAGTAGACATCCACAATGACTAAGAACGACAAACCCATGAAAGAGCTGTCGACGTGTAACTGAGTCCAGGGTTTACCCGGCTATTCCCACAAATGTGGGGAGCTGCTGGTGGTAATTTTGTCCACTGGATCTCTGCATCCAATCTTGTCCCCCAGACATAACCTCTTGCCAACACTTTCATTTTGGACACCTCTGGATGACCAACCTATGCTCAGGGCAATCACTCTTGCTCCCCATAATAAAATGCCATCCTCTATGGTGATCTGGTCTCACTGGGTCCAGAAAGGTTTCCAATCTGGTTGTGATGGCCCTTTTGTTTCCCCTCTCGCCGCCAGCTGTTTTTGTTTCACCAGTACCAGATCTTTTTGCATCCACAGTCTGATATTGTCAGTGGTGACCACAAGAGTGTCTAGAAAGTTTAAATCCAGAATGGACTCTTCCAGTTGCAGTACCACCGGTGATGTATCTCAGTGGGAGGAAGTTCAAGGCATCCACATTGGCCCCTTGGCCTCTGGACAGTGTTCCAACTTGTAATTCTACACACTTAGAATGAGAGCCCACAGCTGAATTCGACCTGAAGCTATGGATGGCACAGCCATGTCCTCTTTGATAGCCCTAGTAGGGGTTTGTGGTCTGTTACTATTACAAATTTATGCCCGTAAATGTATTGCTGAAACTTTCCCACACCAAAGATGACCACCAGATCTTCCTTCTCTATCCGGGCACATTTGTGCTTGAGCTAAAGTCCGGGAAGCATATGCTATTGGGCGTTTCTCTCCATCAAGTCATCTGTGAGCCAACACTACCCCAATACTGTACAGGAAGCATCACATGTCAACACCAGGTCTTGTTTGAGATCATAATGTGCCAACGCCTTAAACGATGATAGCTGCTTCTTCACTTCCTTAAAGACTACGTCTGGCTACAAGACCGTTTCCAAGACTAACCCCTTTTCAATAGCAGATGTAAGGGTACCAGGATGGAGGCAGGGTTATGTATGAACTTCCCAATCCAAGGAAAGACCTAAGATCTGGTACAGACATGGGAGCCAGGGCACCTTTGATTGTCCTCACTTTATCTTCTGAATGGTCTAACCCAGACTTGTCAACTCTGTAGCCCAAGTAGTTCAATTGGGGAACTGGAACACACATTTTTCCCTCGTAACGTGTATGCCCGCCTTGGAGAAATGTCTAAGGATTATGTCCAAGTTCTCTAAGTGCTCATTATTAGTCTTCCCTATTATTAACAGGTCGTCCAGATAAATAGCAACCCGGGGTAGACCTTGTAAAATATTCTCCATCATTCGCTGAAAAATGGCACAGGCTGATGATACTCCAAATGGCAGTCTTGTATATTGGTACAAACCCTTATGGGTATTAATTGTAGCATACTTCAGGAAATCCTTATTTGACCTCAATTGCAAATGTTCATGGCACATGTCCAGCTTCCCAGACCCCCTGCCCCACCAGGTTTGCATATAAGTCCCTAGCATTTGGGTATTTATCCAGCTGTGAGAAGCGGTTTACTGTTTGTTTCAAATCCCCACACCTTCGAGCTGACCCATTGGGCTTCACAATCAGTATGACCGAGTGCAGCAAATTCTGCAAGGTTTATTGATTTGATGATTCCTTCACTTTCCAGCCTCCTGATTTCTGCCTCTACTTTTGCACATAAGGCAAATGGCACTGGGTGGGCCTACAGAATTGTGGAAATGCTACCTGGTCAACATGTAAGGTTGCCTTGGGTTCTTTGATAGTCCCTAGAATAGTCCCTGGAATTTTCTAATTCAAGATGGCGGCAGAGAAGCAGTGCAGCATGCAGGCTCCTTCCTGGAACTCATCTGTTCAATCTACTTGTATTTTTTCCTTCTTCTTTCACTGCTTTTTATGTTTCTTTCTTTAATCTACTTACCTTCTGTGGACAGCGAGTTTGTGTAGTGCGGAGAAGATCGAGTCAGTGTAGCAGAGAGCAAGCCCCCCCGGTATCCACAGCAGTGGCATGAGCAGACAGGCCAAGGTCTCCCAGCATCTGCGGCGATCTCAAGTGTGGGGAGATTGAGCTCTTGTGGGGATTGCAAGGCCAGCATGGCTAAGCATTTAAGAAGGATTTGAATCTTACCCAGTATCTCTGTATGAAGACCACAAATCTGGCTGTGAAAATCTGTGATGTGCATCTGGATGTCAGACAGTGGTGACTGGAGGAGCACAGAAGGCGAAGTCTACGGAGAGGGAAAGATGAACTTTTGAACATGTTTCACTTTTTGTAATATCATTGTTATTAATATATTCAGTATTTTACCATTGACACAATTTGTTCAGTAATTTATTCTATAATCCAAGATGGTGCCAGAACATGGTGACGTTATCCACTTTTCACTGTACCTAGGTAAGGTGGCAATAAAATAAATTATTTAATAAATAGACCTTCCTCAAAAACTTCTGGGCATTTAATTAGGACTTTGATCAGGCAGCCATTTTCTAACCAAAAACGTTTGAGCCAATCAAGCTGAATCTTTCTCAACCAATTTCACCCCATCAGACCTGAGCCTTTTACTACAATCAGTGGTAACTGAACCAGCTGCTTCTGACACAAACCAGAACCGAAAGTGTACCCTTAATCTGTGAAGGTACCCTGGTATTGATTTTCAGTCTCACCGAGGTCTTGTGCAACTTAAGGGTTGGAGTCAGAGTGAATTTTGTTAAAGCCTGATTCTGCGATCACTGATAGAGCCGAGCTAGTATCTATCTCAATTAAACCTGGGTGTCCATTTAATTAGATGATTATTTTGATTGGTTCTGATTTGGATGTTGCTAAGAAATTTAACTGTTCTAAACTAGATGTAGGTGGGCTTTCCAGATGTTTCCTCTCCTGAATACCTGCCTATGAGTTCTCTTATTCAATCTCTATTGGGACTCTTTTGTTGTCTCAAGTCCGCACACCGGCAGCAACTACAATAGCTTGCTGGCCCAGATTCTGAAGAAAATGTTAACTGTATGGCCGAAGCTTGACTTTGTTTTGCAGTTTTGCTGTGGGCTGACCTAGAGTCCTTCAGTTTACGATATGTCCTGAGTGAGGATATGCAATTGCCTTCACTCAAGTGGTGTCCCACAAGCTCAGTTGGCCTGGCAAGGGCGTCGACTTCCGTCAGCATACCGTGTAACTCATATGCTCCACTTGCCGCATTTTCTAATGACAAAGTCAGTTGTAATGCCTGTTTGAAGTCCAGTTGAGCTTCAGCAAGTAGGCACTTTTACAGCAGTGGAGCAGAGAGTCGACGTTTCGGATCGGGCCCCTTCATCAGGACTAGGGAGGGATAAGGGAGCTGGGAAATAAATACGCAGGTAGAGGTAGTGGGAATTGGTCAATAGGAAGAGTGGAGCGGATGGGTAGGAAAGAAGATGGACAGGTTGTGTCAGGTCAAGGAGGTGGGATGAGAGGGAGGGTTGGACATGGGATGAGGCTGGGAGTGGGGAAATTTTAAAATTGGT